TGTTTTGTCAGCAAAATACCGTTCATACTAATTTTATTGGTATGAAAAATATACCGTTCATTCTTATCGAATTTTGTATACAATATACATTTTTTGTATACAATATACCTTTCATACTTATCGTATTGCTGTGTATACCGTTCATAACTTCATCAATTTTGAATAAAAAATCAAAATTTATTGATTGATCAAGATTGATTTTTTTTGAATAAAAAATCAATCAATCAAAAAGTATACCGCTCATAACTCCATCAATTTTGATGTATGTATTTAGAGCTCAAAAGTTGATGGATGTATTAATGTATGTATTTAGAGCGCATACACTTGAAGCTGTGTATGTTAAGTGCAAGTATTGGCAAATAAACATGATTGTTCCTAAAGCAAGTTGAAATGAGTGAATACTACAGTTTATTTAGTTTGGTATCTATAATTTGCTTAATATATTTCAATGTATACAGAATCTAAAGAGAGGGCCTGAGCCGCTTTCGCATAGGCGATCGTTGCAAGGCTTGGCAAGCTTTTCGTGTTTATTTTCACAGTCATCAGGAACTTGTAAATATGCTTGCAGGCATTTATGTCTTCATTCTTTCACGATTCAAGACTTTTGTTGTTTATAAAAAAAATGAAATTGTCCCAAACAGCACGTGCATGTTACATTTCTGAGTGTAAAAACGACATTTATTTAATTTCCTAGGCATTACAGATTTTAATTGCAAATTCAAGAAATTTTTCCTTATTTACATTTGCACGGTTTACGTTTAATGCATTTGTTTTACTTGTGCACACTTTTGCCGATCGCGGTCTAGGCGATGAGAAAACAATAATCCGTCTTGTAATATAAATACTACATGACTCGTTAAATAAGTTTATATACCGTATATTATCAGGAACTTGTAAATATGCTTGCAGGCATTTATGTCTTCATTCTTTCACGATTCAAGACTTTTGTTGTTTATAAAAAAAATGAAATTGTCCCAAACAGCACGTGCATGTTACATTTCTGAGTGTAAAAACGACATTTTTTTCATTTCCTAGGCATTACAGGTTTTAATTGCAAATTCAAGACATTTTTCCTTATTTATATTTGCACGGTTTACGTTTAGTGTATTTGTTTTACTTGTGCACACTTTTGCCGATCGCGGTCTAGGCGATGAGAAAACAATAATCCGTCTTGTAATATAAATACTACATGACTCGTTAAATAAGTTTATATACCGTATATCTACGCTGAAACAAACTGCTAGAATATGGATAGAAGTTTTATCTGTGCCAGGAAATATAGAGCTCGAGGCTAGGTATTCAGGCTGCTCGATCACGAGTTTTTATTTTTATTTGCCGTGCACTTAACGTCACAAGTTAAACTTGTTGATTGGTTGAACTCCTAATGCAAAAATAAATTGCTGATTGAGACTTTATCTTGTGTAAGCTTTTTCTTTAACTTTGATGTATGGTCCAACTTTCTGCAATGGTTTGATTCATCCATTCACAATATTGAAGGTTCCATGGTTCAAGTATGGTTCCGTGATAATACCAATAAATGGTCCGAAATAAATGGCATGTGAACCACTGAACTTTGTATAATTCTATTGCCATTGAACCACGAACCATGCCCTTACCATTGAACCAGGTTCTTAATACGGAACCATGAACCATGCTTTTACCACTTACCCACGAACCGTGTACTTACCACAGAACCGTGAACATTGCTTTACCATTGAACCATGTGCTCAGCTATTACCATCGAAGCATGAACCATGTTTCACCCCTGACCCATGACCCAGCTACTACCACTGAACCTGACCCAGCTACTACCACTGAACCATGAACCACACCACACGCTCTTATCATTCCTTGACTTGACAGCACTAGCTGCTGCAACAGACTAGCAATGCAGCCTTCGCTCGTTTTTGTACGTTATTGCTACGACAAAACTCGTCAAAGCGTCAGTAAAGCTAGCACTTGGCTGCAATGGATCTGCTTGAACTGTATTCTTCGCTCCTATACGCGCTCTTTAATATCGATTACAACATCGTGAATCAGAGCATTTATAATTTTCGAGCATTTATAGTCCGCTTGTGCAAATCAATAAAGGTATGATAAACATCTACTGGTTGTCGTGTTCTGATTTGTGTTACGATTTTTTACTTCCGTCCCAACTCTTCAACACTGAATACGGAGTACTAAGATCTATTTGTATTTGACTGGTTTGGCTTAAGTTAGTGGATAAATCTCCGCTTAATTAGTATTTCTTTCAAATATATTGGTTGCTTCGTGAGGCGGGTCGTTGTTGCCAAGGCGAGATCAACTGAGTCCCTTTTTTTATGTTGTGTAGCATTTGATTATCAATGTGGGTGATGCGCCGTGCAAGTAATGTGCTGACTGAATTTAGACTCAGCGTGCGCATTAACGAATGAAAGCGTAGACTCGAGTCAGTTTTATCTTCTATTCATTTACCCAGCTACTACCACTGAACCTGACCCAGCTACTACCACTGAACCATGAACCACACCACACGCTCTTATCATTCCTTGACTTGACAGCACTAGCTGCTGCAACAGACTAGCAATGCAGCCTTCGCTCGTTTTTGTACGTTATTGCTACGGCAGAACTCGTCAAAACGTCAGTAAAGCTAGCACTTGGCTGCAATGGATCTGCTTGAACTGTATTCTTCACTCCTTTACACGCTCTTCTAATATCGATTACAACCTCGTGAATCAGAGCATTTATAATTTTCGAGCATTTATAGTCCGCTTGTGCAAATCAATAAAGGTATGATAAACATCTCCTGGTTGTCGTGTTCTGATTTGTGTTACGATTTTTTACTTCCGTCCCAACTCTTCAACACTGAATACGGAGTACTAAGATCTATTTGTATTTGACTGGTTTAGCTTAAGTTAGTGGATAAATCTCCGCTTAATTAGTATTTCTTTCAAATATCTTGGTTGCTTCGTGAGGCGGGTCGTTGTTGCCAAGGCGAGAGCAACTGAGTCCCTTTTTTATGTTGTGTAGCATTTGATTATCAATGTGGGTGATGCGCCGTGCAAGTAATGTGCTGACTGAATTTAGACTCAGCGTGCGCATTAACGAATGAAAGCGTAGACTCGAGTCAGTTTTATCTCCTATTCATTGCTAGTGCGAAATTATCTGTGCTTTTATTATTAATGTTATTCCCTACAAGATTGGGGAATCGGACACTAATAGGTTTAAAGCTTGCGCCCATGCGTATTATTTAGTGACAGAAACTTCAAGGCTTAATCATATGGGCTACCAAAAAATAACTGTGAAAGATACGTCAAGAAATGATTTCTGCCTCCAATAGTATGACAGGTTCATTCCACAAGAAGTTTCCAAGTATTATTCTTGTCTTCATGAAGCGTTTTTTAGTCAGGTAGAATTTTAATGAATAGGTGCATTGAAGAAAAAAATTGGATTACGTGTTCGGTACCTGAAACTTTAAATACACTTGTTACTTTGGGTAACCGCAATTTTATGTCACGACATAAAACAGTTTTATTTATTTTTGATAGCATGAAACATGTACTGTTTTTCTGTAATTTGCATGTATTTAATTTTTATTATCGAAAATTTATCAATCTTGCGACAAGAAAGCACTCAATTTTATAGGGTAATGGCAGTGGCACGTGTATACTGCTGCAGCGAACAAGTGAGTGACGAGTCAGACTAACTTGAGACAACGCAATCTTAGTTCTCATACAAAGCATTCTTTAGGAGAGTTTCCTGTTTTATTGCTCGCTGCTACCTGCACACGAGCGAATGCGCCAAGGCAACACGTGTTATGAAATGTCTACTGTTTGTCCTTCGCATTATTTCTGCTTGTTTCGCATCGCATTTAAACACTCGCACGTTTAAAGAATTTAAAATATCGTGGACCTTCTTAACATGAAGCTATATGAAGGCGGTGCTCTTCTTAGTCGAGAGCAGTGAGTGTGAGCGCGAGTGAAAAGTTTATTTCTATAGATCAAAAATTTACCTTAGAATATTTCATGCATAATGACTACAAGGCAGCTGAATTCGTTTCATTAAATTTTATCCTTTTCTTCTCAAGTGTTCGTTGGCATTTATTTCAACAGACTCCCAAACAGGATCTAGAATTGTCCGTAAAATGAAATCTTAAATTTCTGTCAGTAGAATATAATTCTTCAATTTCCAAATGTTGGCGGCTAATATTCGATCCTCTCTAATGCGTTACCAGTGACCTTTCACTTATCCCAGTCTAGGTAATTAACATTCGGGCGCCGAATGCCCTTCAGGGGCTCCTGCAGAACCGGTCACGTATGACGGCCGGAGGAGCCATGTTGCTACGCGGCCCTTCCCTGCCAACCGGTGCTGCAACTCTGACGTCGCCATTAATATAGTTGAACAGCGACACTTGTCGCGGCAAGCTTACCAGTNGCTTGCCAAAGGCGTTGTCGTGGCTAGCTTGCCAAAAGCGTTGTCGTGGCTAGCTTGCCAAAGGCGTTGTCGTGGCTAGCTTGCCAAAGGCGTTGTCGTGGCTAGCTTGCCAAAGGTGTTGTCGTGGCTAGCTTGCCGAAGGCGTTGTCGTGGCTAGCTTGCCAAAGGCGTTGTCGTGGTAAGTTTCCAACGACGTGGTCGTGGCAGATTTTCAACTGCGTTGTCGTGGCCAATTTACCAAGCTCTCGTCATACTTTCCTCACTAGCCCTATTCTTATGGTTATAGTTTGACTCTATTGGATCCAAAATCACCCTAGATTATTTCCGTACATATTTATCGAGTTAATCGCAAAATATTTGAGAGATATTTTCATACGAGCGTCTCTAAAATCTCTATTTTCAGCTGTAGATTTTTTTTGAATTTTCCGTCGTACGCAATGGTGGCATGCAATCGGATATCCATGTATGCTCGATCTTCGAGCCGAATTATCATATTTTTGTATTCATTTTTTTTTTGTTTTTATAGCCCATCGATTGAATCATTTACATATATCGTTATGTTTTAAATTATTTATCCATTGTTTCAGATCCACACCTCAGAATGGAGAGGCACGGCGACACTCTGGAGAAGTCATGTGGCAGCAGTTCACAGAGCGGCCGCAGCAGTGCATCGACGCTCTGGCCCTTACCGTGTAGCTTGACTTCGTTGCTTAACATGAATTGCCGCGCGAGGGCAGAAGGCTTGGCTAGATCAGTGTCAGCGAAAATAAGGTACTCGGCCACAAGGGATGACATGGTTCCTCTGCATCAGAGAATGGAAGGTCGTTCTGTGTCTGTCGACGCAACTTGCGATCAATTGTTGCTGAGCAAGCCGTTGCACGTGGTCACTTCCGAACCAACCATGCATATTGATTACTCTCCTACCCATAAATGTTCCGAGGAGGATTCTGATCTTCACTATGACTTTGGCTTAGTTACGCCCGAAGACGGACAAGGGCTTTCAGTCGAGTTTGCTCAATCTAGCGATAGTATCTCTAAAAAATCATCACTGTCAGATCATGAGAAAAGGGGCAAAATATGGGCAGACAGCAAAGGGGAATCTAGCGATAGACCTGAGAGTGGTTGCGTCACGTCTGTGACGTCACCGGTGATGTTCAGGGACGATATGATGTCAAGCACTCTCTCTTCGCCGTCCGATGATGTTTTATCTCCCACTAATTCCACTGACCTCAAGGCAGTACGAGAAATATTATCTTTTACATCATTTGTTGAAGGTATCCAAGGCATGACGTATTCATTGAGTGAGCTTACAGCTGTAGATTCTGGTCTATATTGTGAACTATCTGGGGCAGATTCAGGATTGTACACAGATCTTGATTCCGTTCCTGACTCCGTAAAGTTCTTTTCTAGGGATGTGAGGCCTGACACAGATGACAAGTCGTCGCAGAATTGCAATAAAATCAACCCTGTGCATGAGTTCAGCGATTCGACTTCTGATGATGCTGAAAAGTTCGGCAAAGTAACTCCCCCCGAAGGATTTCGTAATGTACCTCCCAAAGCACTTGATCCTTCCATCTTAGAGAATTTTCCAAAAGATCAGCGCCGCAGGAGCTGTGACTTACCTCCTAAAATATATCAGCAGCAAACCCTGCGTTGGAGCTCGCCTCCTGGTTACCGCTCAGGTCTAACTTTACCCGGAGGCTTGTGCTTGGCCCTCCTGCCTGCCAGGGCACCTACCACCGAAACATTGTCATTCAAGCGCCAAGTCGCAGAGCCTATTAAAAAGCACGAATCTCAAGTGGTGTGCTCATCCGGAGGTTTCGGTGCTTTCAGGACCCAGCTTTGTAAGTCAAATCGGCCCGTGACTTCAGAACCCGAATCAGACAAGCGCGAGTTGTCTAGCCCGGCATGTGTCACGAGCTGCATGCTAGGATCACCAGACCACGAGGCGTGGTCAACAGAATGGCAGCACCATGACCATACAGCAATGGGTGACTTGAGAGCTTCCTCTAGCATCGATGCCACGCTTGGCACCACAGCTCATAGTTGGCACACGACCTCGACTGCTTCTTTTGACGCTGCTGCCGCCGCTACCTCTGCTGCGGCTGCTATTCAACCTCAGCTGATAACAGCGGCAGTGTGTGGTCAACCGGCACAGCGAGACGAAGCTAGTCTCTCAAGCAGTGAGTGCGACTCCCGGCCATCCCCTGAATCACAGCCTGTGTGCGACAGTCTGAAAAGGGCTCAGTTGTCGGGTCCTGATATTAGTGAACCTACAATTGCAACAATGCGAGATGAGTGCGAGCCTTCGGTGCCTAGTTTCTCGAGGAGACGGCGGTACAAGGTCAGAGAAGGTCAATCAAAGTCAAGTGGCGCTTCGTGTTCAAATGTTGACACTCTTAATGCAAAAGTGAACGATGGGACACCATTAAGTGCAAGTGAACATTCTAGTGAACCTAGTTCTCCAGGGTCTATGAGAGATTGTGATTCTTCAGAACCGACAAGTCCGTTAAACGCAGAAACAAATCTTCCAAATTCTTGGCCTGTCGCTGAAACAGAAAACGCTTCTAGCGCGTCTGGTGCGTGCAGTGTGCCTATTTCAGTCGACGAAAATCATGACGAAGCTGGCAAAGTTAGTAACGCTGACGATGACGCACAGGACGAGGAAGACGTTCCAGCAGTCGTTGAGGGAAAATTTAAGCATTTACTTCAATATAAGGAAACTGTTAGAAAATTATCATACGCCGCTGAAGATGCGTATGACCCTAGCATTACCACTGTTATACAATTAGACGAAAACGAGTTATCTGAACCGGAAGAAGACGTATCACTCCACGATGAAGTCGATCAGCACGAATTAGATGAAAAATTGAATCGTCTACAAATTGAAACGCCTGAAATGAATGTTCAACAGCCGAGTGATGAATCTTCACGGGATTCGTCTGCAGACCCCGTGGAGGAAGATCTTAGTCTTCGTATTAAGAGATCTTCATCTTTGAAATGTGGCAAAACGCCCCCGGGAACTCCTGGCACCAAGAAAATTGTCCGATTTGCCGATTCACTCGGCCTTGATTTGGCGGAATGCCGGACATTCTTGGAGGGTGTTCCTAATGTTCCCAAATCCGCATTCGGAGACTTGCGAATTGCAAAAGCAGAGGACGAAAGCGAAAATTCACCAAGCTCTTCACAACTGTTCCTTAGCAGCTGTAACTCCAACAGATATACTGCTATAGCCCAGAAAAAAATGCTAATGCCACTGTTTCAGCAACCATGTGTGCTACCTGGATTCTTGGACAGAGTTCGTGCCAATAAAGTTTCTCTGGAAACAATCAGTGTTGGTGACGATATGAGTGTAAGGGGATACGTTCGCGTCTTGAACTTGGACTTCCACAAGCATGTCGTTGTGAGGTATACTTTCGATGGCTGGAGGAATTTTCATGAGGTGAGTTCGATGCTACTTTTTTAAGTGCATTATTCACGAGGAAAAAATTTGTTGACACGCCTCTTTCATATACCAATGCAAAAAATAACCATCGTTTTAGTTCACTTTGTAGACCATGACAATTTTATTTTAATTTTATTTTACTATAACTGCACTGTATCTAGATTATTTAGATCCCGTTCCTCAGTGCCTCGATCTGACATGGATCCTATTCTAACGCAATTCTCGAAAGAAGGCGCAATAATATTTCCTAGTGAGGATTATCTAAAATTTGACGTCGGTGATCTGTGAAGCTAGGCAAATCTTAAACAAACTCAAACAGGCAAGCAGGCAAGCAACATCAACTTGCGTTTTTTTCTCTTTTTCTCTTGCATCTAGGACAAAATCGCGAAAAAATGATAATTCTAATTACTTAATCATGATTGTAAAATGCATTATGGAAGTAAAAATCCGATTTTTCCCTTTTTTTAAACGGGAATCTGAAAGTCTGGCTAATCTTTGATTGACTGTAGACTTGAAAGAACAGTGTGTGATCATGAAAAAAATATGTTGAAATGAATGAAAAAATAAACGGAAAATTAATGAGAATTAGCGCATGAAAACTATGTTTAAAAAGTATGTAAGATGCGTGGCGAGTATGTGAAATAATTAAAGTACAATTTACGAAAACCGTCAAATTGAGGTTGTTCGAACAATATGGCCGCTGTGTAGGTAGGTGTTCTATGGAAAAAGTATTAATGTTTGAATACAACGTGACGAATGTGGAGAATCTATCTTACGTGTGTGTAAAATGAATGGAATTTGACTTGAAAAGTAAAATCGAAAAAAATCATGGCAAGTGCATGAAATTAATTATATAGTTGTGGAATTTATTTAGCGCCATTGTATTTATTAAGCCTCGTGCTGTAAATATTCAAGGCTATTTGAGCGTGTGTCCACGGTGCCGGTTGTGCCATGAACTTAACCAAACTTGATATTTTATTTCTGGTAGTCCAATCACTTGGCCTTTTATAACGGGAGGAGAAAAGTACATTAAAAATTTTTTCAATGTGATTTGTAGTAGGTACGTGTACATTTTATTCAACATGAAAAGAAATTGAATTCGAATTTGAAACTTGGACCTGAATAGGCGGGCGTTCTACGCTGAATGTGAGTTAGAACAGAAATTTTTTTAATTGACCTATTTTGGCTTCAAAATTAAATAAATGGATTGGGATTAAGGTAATGTCTTGTATAGTACAACGCCGGAAAACCTGATGGCTTGGAAAGTGATAAAAAATGGTTAGGTTACTAACGGTTTGAGTAGGTACTGGCCGTGTGTGAATGTGCTTGTGTTAGTGGTTACTCATGTAGGTGTGCTGCAGGAATGAACTCTTGAGAATTACCGCGTTATCAGCTCGGATAACACGTCTCTTCTTGTCGTGTTTCCTTATCATTTATAGCGGGCTTCCTAGTTTGGTTTGATCGCTGCTTATCTGCTGTATTCTTGCATGAACTTCATGATCTTGTCATTTCCGTGATCTCTTCGCGGTTGACGTTTGCGTCATTAATTCTTTGACTAGCGTTTCAATTAATTCGCGTGTACAAAACTCGAGCTTTTCTTAACCGTGTACGAGAAGACGCTATATATTTTTTTTGTAGTCATCGAATTAATCGTCAAAGAAAAACTCAATGACTTTTTGGTCGTTGCACATGAATTCGAAATAGTTTTTTGTAATAAAATAAATTGGCTAACTTGTGGATTTGTTACGCAGAAACATTTATGCCTTTTTAAAGCTGAAGTTGTGGTTTTGGAAATTTGGAGCAAAGACATAAGAGAAAAATCGATAATGTATGATCCCAATAGACACTATGCGACTTTAATTTTCATGAAATTTCGTATATTTCATGTGGGCCAGTCTAATATATACAGTTTATAATACGGTAGACTGATTTAATTGGTCACTCGGTCATATCAGTTTTTTCTTGGATTACACTGGAAAATTGTCTTTCTATGAATTTTTTGTATACCGTATATGAATACGGTATTCTGGTCTCGAGTGATGATGCTCCAACCTATAGCAGTTTTTACTCGTGTTACTAATTTCTAAGCCCATGATGATAACGTCTATCTTTCTAATGTACGAGATAAAATTTAAACACGAGTACATGCGCAGTAATTATGAATGAATATCTACAGTGTGAATTTCGACCCGCCTTCAACGAACCAAAATTAGTTTGGTTCTGTTTAATTCTGTAAAAAGTTTTATTGATGAGTTAGTGTTCATCATAGTACTATAGTACTTGTTATAATCTGATTTAGAATTAAATGCCACAGACTGTTTTTATCCGACCGAAAAATGATTTACTGTAATGTAATTGCTATTATTTATTATTTGATTATGATTTTTCTTTCGATTCCTCTTAAGCAATATGAGCCTTGTCACGTTGCAGGGATAAATTCAATCACCAGATACCTACTTGACCCTCAAATCGCTGAGACTTAATAATTATAATCTGATCCAATTACAGACCATTAATCTTGTTCATGTTTCAGGCTACCGCTTCGTACGTCCATGGCTCGTGCGATGGCTTCTCTGACAAGTTCTCTTTCTTATTGTGGGGAAGCTTCTTGCAAGAGAACGGCTCACTGACCTTCTGCATCAGGTACACAGCTGGAGGCAGCGAGTTCTGGGACAATAATCGGGGATCCAACTACGTACTTCAGTGTTATACCAACCAAATACGGCGACAGCTACACCAGCAGGCACTTCACCAGCCTGCTGACAACAACCTGAGCCATGGAGGAGGCAGTTACTCCAAACACTTTGGGAGTGTGTTTCAAAATTCACCTCCGACACCGTCTGAAAATTGGACTGGAACTTTCTTTTAATAATTAGTGAATAATCATTTAGAAACAGCTCCTTGAATTGTTTGAGGACTCGACGAATGTGCTCGATTTTTTCATGGTATACTCTATAGATGTATAATCCACTGTATTCGGCGATGTGCAATGCGATTGGAGGTTAATGCAACTGGAGTTTATGTGGAAACTGAAGCTCGAATTAGTTTAGCCCTCAGAGCCAATAAATATGCGACGTGCTAAGGATGGAATAATATGAGACTCTCGATGTGTACAGCGAGGGATATGCAATTTCGCTTCAGTGAGTCGGTTGCAATGTCCATGTGGCAAGACATTAGTTATAGTCTCGCTTTCCGTCTGTCTCGATCGCTGTGTTATTTCCCCTGAACTCGTTACTGCTTTTATGTACACATGTGTCATTTCACAAAAAATATTCCTCCACAAATTTTACACGAGAAACCTGAGTGGAATTGCGGCAGAAAAGTCAAGCTTCTAGTAACAACGACTGCAAATGGCACGGCATGATTTGCCTATGAATCTATTGCGTATCGTAATCATAGTCTGCAATTTGAAAACCTCGATGTGCAGTGGTTCTGCTTGAACGTTTCCCGTGGTCTGAGCTTAAGCGGCAGTTTACATACACAATGTTTTTAAAGTCGTCTCATGACGAATTTCTAGTCTTCGTATCAATTCTCGCTTGCGTTGCTGCCTAGGCTAAGATTTGTTCGTCGTTTTGGTGGTTTTCTTGTTCATTTTAGAGCCTCCAACTTTTTTTATCACAGAATTTTGGAGGCCAATTCGATTAATTTTTGCAACATACTGAAACCAAATTCACGTCTATTAAACCTGATGAATGTATAAATTAACCATTAATAAATTACTTGCCTGTATCAATTCGTTCACTATAGGAAGGTTTTTGAGAGTGCCGTATTTTAGATTCTATGTCTCAAGATAAATTAGATCTAGTAAAAATAATGAACGTAATCCAACGAAAACTTGGAACTAGACCCCGAAGACAAGATTCCGTGTCATGGAACTCATTCACGATCTTGAATTATATCCTCTAGTTTATTTATAGAGCTAAGCCTGTATCGGATTGGTTTATTGGAAAGCGTGCCTTTCGCGCAAAGCTTGTATTCTCGATCTATTTAGTTGATATTATGTTGCGGTCGACTTCCCATTCTTGAGCTTTACTAGGAGTCATTGTTGAAATATAGCCATCGACATGTTGATTATATCCTTACCATTAGATAGGAGAATTTTATCAGCTGTGAGTTGTAGAATAAGAAACTTAGAAAGGTAAATAACTGGTCAAGTTATGTACGCAACTTGTACTAAATAACGTAGAAATAAGAAATGATATTCTAGCTAACTCGCTTTAGCTCAATCTATTACATTCATGGAATAGACAATCCGAAGTATGAACTGGAATTTTGTCCCTTCTCTAATTTTGATTCCGAACTCTGGGCCAGAATTTGATGCGAGATTCTGACGCCTGTTTGCCACCTGCACCTGTGCTTGCTTCTCGCTGTGTTTAAAAAGTTGAGCCCTGCAGCTTGTAACTAGTTACTTGTGGCTTATTAATGCGCAAGAAGGAAAGGGTGAAAGCTGATTGATTTTACGCAACTTGGTTCGAATTATTGTTGGAATGTTGTTGTTGAGATCAAGTCCCGTTAGAGGCACTCGTTATGACGTCACTGAAATTTATGCTTCCAGTCCTTACCAGTGTCCTCTATTATTTTGGTAATCTTAAGTCTGTAATTTATGTAACCCATTATCGCTTTGTAGTCAGAGTAAAGAACATTTTAGGAGGTCTTCTGCAGTGTATTTGGAGACAAGCGTTTAGGATTTCAACGTTGCATTAATCCTGATCACCCCACGACTGAGCTCACTGCGTCTGAATGCGGGCCTCAGTTTGGGATTATGTTCTTGAGTATATAGGATACCATTCTCGGTCTCTTGCTGGTCGCCAGCGTCTCGTGTTAGCAACATCGTGTGTTTATGTTTTTTTTTCTATTGCTCTTCACCTGCCCATTCTTATTCTTCGTCCCCTCTAAAATGCTACTAAATTTCTTGGCTCAACTGACAGCCTTCCCCTAGTTGTGAATGATGAATGATTACGATTTTGAAATTTTTTTCTTTGATGTCGCTGATTGCGACCTTCCGTCTTGATGGTGATGAACATTTGTAACTTCCGGTGCGGAATGGTTTCTTTGCCGACGCGTTAGTAAACAGTATAGAAAACTATTGCGGATGATAAATTCTCGTACCAATCCATTTTTTTCTGTCCTTTAGCTGCAAAGAAAAACACTATTGGCCTTTGATCGTTGTATTTACAAATGAATGAATATATTGATATGTACTCTTGTTACTGATGAAAAATATATAGTTGTTCCAATTGCTGTGAGAGTTTATTCGAAATGTTAATGCATATTTTGATTGCGTATTCGTATATAATAGCTCATTATGTGTTCGTTCTTAGAGAGTTAATGCTATGTATATATACACTTAAACCATATTAGCGACGTGTATTTTCTCATGTGACCCTATTTAATTTTAATGTGCGGTGCATTTAATTACGTTCTGTGTAGTGTCTGATTATGTATAAAATTATGCAACTGTAAAATCATACTCGTCATTGCATTGCGTGTCTTGAAATTATTTCTGCCAACTGTAATCGTCTTGAAATGTACCTGTCGCTGAAACGTTTCTTGTATTTAGGAAAAAGCATCCTATGTTCAATCGTTCATGTGCTAGTTGCACATAGGCGTCAACTGAAAGAAATTAAATTTGTATTTATGGGTGAAATTAACTTTAGTATTTTCTCTTGTGGGCATGCCTGAGGCTGCCGGATGTTTATGATACTGTAGATTTGGAGGTGAGAAATAAATGAATATCAAAGTATAAAAATACCTCGCTTGAATTTCTGCCACTATACATCTCTGCTGCGCAGGACGTTTTCTGAAGTCGTCAGAAGTCATACGAGATTTTACGTTCCAAATTGCTTCGGTTTTGTGTTCCTCACTACTGAGCTTTCGGTATTTGACAGTGGGGTTGAGTAGTTGGATAGGACAGGATTCTTTTAATTTTTTGTCGCCACTCGTGCTAGCAGCGGCATCTCGTGGAAGTGACTTGCCTCCTATGTTGTTCTTCACTTATCCCTACATCGATCTCCGTATTTCTGAGGTGCTGTGGTGCTTGAAATTTTGTCATATTTTGCCACTTTCACTGCAATGACCGCTGAGACCTGGCGCCACTTACTGACGATATCATTTTTTTACAGCGCGATCTCTTGACAGAGCAATCGTGAAATTTTTACACTATGGCACTACTTGACAGAACGACGAACTCACAAATGAATATTCGTTCTTTTTTACCATTCATTTTATTTGTGAAGGTAATATCTTCCTGTACTGCACTATTGGGCGCTCAAAGAATTGTGCCGTTATTGAGCTACGGTAAATTCTGAGTCGTTTAAACTATAGATGACCATAGTAAATGAAGCCATGTCAGAGAAAGAGGCCATCCGAAAGCCTCAATAAATCAATTGAAAAAATTCACGGCTTTTTTCTGTCAGTTGGCACTTGTTCCGCAAATTTCAACTTTTTTATATATTATATTGATAAGATTTGAAACCATCCTATCTATTGTTTCTTCTTTTGTTATTCATATTTTCAACTACGTCAAAGCTTGAATTAACGCACCACCAAAATATTTCCTTATGAACATTTTTTGAAAATATCGCTTCGATATTTTCAAAGGCCAACTCTTTTTTTCCGTCCGCGCGACACTTCATCCGTCCGATTCGTGTCGCGCGGTACGCACCCGATCAGAGAAGCTATGGTGACGTGCATCCGTCAGCGTTGCTTTGAATTAACCACGAAGCTGTACTTTGCCCTATTTGATCAGCCACAGCTAATATCCTTAATTTCTAAGTTCCTTAAAATTTTTGAGATTTTTCATTTAACATCGTAATTAACTTGTAAAGCTGCACTCACCGGTGAGTCTGAGAAATGTTGATTGAGAGAGGTGTTATCGTCTTCAATTGGATCACCTAGTAGCCGCCGCCCGTCACGGATGATGAAGCCCTAAATAAGAGATCAGCAGGTTTTTGGATCTGCACAATCCTTCACTCTCCTCTTCTGGTCAGCCTTTGCCTCCTTCATCTTCCCTTATTTCCTAGTTACATCGCAACAACAGATTCCTAAAGGTTAAACGGACTGAAGTTTAAGTGAATTCGATTAAGTAATGTCCTATCACCTATTCCACACAGATTTCGATGTATCAAAATTAGGAAACGAGCATCTGAAAGTCAGATTCCATGTTCAATTTGAGATATGAATTTAGGTTACAATTTAAGGTGTAGGCTCATGGACTTCTTCTTATTTGTAGTTCTAAAGGGCAATGTGTACCTATAGGTAGTTACATCGACTGTGCTTACTAGTGCTTACTAGTGCATCTAGTCCAGTATATACCGCACGATCACGTCGTCTATAGTTTTAGCGAGAAATTATGGCGGGCTTCAGCCCTCAAAGATAGGCGTAATGACGCCACAGGTGACAACCTATTTAACTCGTGTATCATGTTTCGAGACTTTGAGATTATTTTCACTTGCACCGAATATGGGTCAGAATATATTCAAGCTATCGAGCATACTGTTAAGAACTTGATTAATCGCACGAATATTTTCCCGCTGATTTTGAAATCACTTATATTCTCCTATCAAAGTTTTGGTTTCCATTCTTTCTTGTAAACTGACTGTCTACGTCCATTCTTCAAATATCGAATTTAATTCTCTATCTCATTTGGCGGTTGGTTCCAAGAAACATTAAATTCTATTATCTATCAAAAATAATGAAATCCTTGAAGAATATTTGCCAAATCCCGAGTTCTGTGATGGTCGGTAACAGGGTTAGTTTTTAGGATTGACTTCGCTGGACTATTTGCTTTCAGCCGAGGCAGATATTTCAAAAATTCTTTAGGTTTAATGTTTGTAGTTCCTGCTATTAGCATAATTTGAACTACATGTCTGTTATTAGCATTATTTGCGGTACATGTTAGCTATTAGCATTATTTGAAGTAAATGCAGCTATTAACATAATTTGCAGTACATGCCTGCTACTGTCTGGGCTTATTTCAGACTAAGTATTTTAGACTGTTGCATTTACGACAATGTAACTATTTTTGGTCGATAGTTATTTTCTTCCACGAAGTCGAGACCTCGAAGCATCAGCTTTACTTCAATTTAGCCTCATGAAGTTCTTCCTGACCCTTGAAATCTACTATTTTGTGTTCCCATACATTGAATCAATTCGTGTGTTATGGTGTTGTCGTATAGGAGAATGAACGCATAAAATATGCTCTACCGGTGAATTAATTCATGGAAACTAATATACGTATTGAGGACAAAAGGCACTGAAACGATTTGTTATTCTTCAGAGCATAACTAACAAGATATGATGAATAACTAATGGTAGTGCTTTTTTTTTTAATTTAGGCAATTATATTTTAATGGGTACGTTAGGCCTATCAAAGCTCATGTTACTCGAAAAGCTAGTCTCCAATTGTCGATAAAAATGTGTATTAATCCGTTTTAAATGTAAATTATTTACACCTTATTTCTACGCCTGTACAAACTTTTATTCACAAACCTGGGGTTAGGTTAAGGCACAGGAAAGTTTCCTCATTCATGCAAGTTTCGCTACCTTGATCGTTATCCCGTCTCTCGGAGCGAACTACATCATCATTACATGTGAATCTTATTCAGTGTTTCATGTTTTCACATAACCTGTCATGTCTATGCTTTTTGTTAAACTCGTATATAGTATTTATTTTTTATGAAAGCCGGATCATAGACCAGTGCTTAAGTATTGTTGATCTAATTAGAAACCGAAAATGAGCAGCCCAGATTACGGGAGCAACTAGTCTACTGTTTCATTATTCGGCGTAGGTCATTCATTCACCATGACTTTTAGTGTTTAAAATCCGGGGATGTTTACATAGTACGTGTTTCTTAAACAGTTCGCATAACATTACTGGCTATCCATGTGAACGACGTGACTAGAGCCATTGCGCTCAGTAAGGAATCGTTATGTACATAGAGAGTCTATCAAATGTTCGTAGATTCAATAAAGCTTTATCTATACGTAGTCAATATCCGTGTGATTATTTTAGCTTGATATATTTACGCAAACCTTACTAATAATAATTAACTGTACATGCTTCAATCCCCTAGGCCTAGGTAATGGCCGGCATAGAGAGGAGGGCTATTTGTCCACGGTCAGACTCATCTGACCAATAAGTGAAAAATCGTCCTAACTACTAAAGAAATCATCAGTAACTTCTCTATTGAAGGAAATGACGGGTGTTTTTTATCTTTAACTAACAGGATTTTAATGTTCATACGAATTATTTATAAAACATCGGGTAGAACAATTTATTCTGATAGTTTGCATTCACTGACTAAATTATGTGTTATGGATACTTGTTGGATCATTCATGGGTGATTGCAAACGAAAATGACTTCCATAGAAACTGAATGAAATGGTTATTGCTCTGTAATTATAATAGGTGAGGTTATAGTTCTCAGTATAGCCTGTACCGACGGTTTCAACCAAGCATCTAGTTTGACGCAACGAAGGTGACATTTTATTCTTATAGATTAGACTAATTATAAACTTGGACGCAAATTCAAGTTTATAGTGAGACCTGAATAATTAATTACTCGCCCTAAAATTCGATCGAGAATGCGTACGACGTGCGGCAGTGTTGGGAAATCCGAAAGCATGGTTTCCGGTTCCATTGCACTACTAGGAGCAGCGGCATCGACATAGGTGCGACAATGCGCCATCACAGGCGATAATAATTATCTTGGCTCTGCATGCTTTGCCTCGCCAAAGGTAACTCGGAAATGCGCGGTAAATTTTACCATCACCTTATTTCAAATTTTTAGAGAAATTATTCAAAAACACATTTAGATTTGTTAGAGAACAATTCTAATGTGCATGCAGAACTTTAATTTGGCTGTTGGCTAGGTGAATGACTAATGAATAGATTGTGTTTTTTTACTTGGATTATTTGGAAGCATCGCGAATGAGTGCATCAAGCGTTTTGCATTTCTTGTTGCTAACAGCTGTACGTTATTTATTGAAGCTCTGATGAATACTAAGAAGTTGATAGCGTTATCGGACGAAGTCAATGGAATATGGGAGGTGAGTGGTTGAAAATAGTATATGAATATACAAAAAAGTCATAGAAATATATTGAGAGGATATAATAAAATTAATCTAATATCATTCTATCATTTTACTGAACCTGACGTATAAGATTGAAAACAAACTTGGGAAAGAAATAGCACGTCGGCATTTTTTTGCAACTGCGAAGTACATTGTTCTGTACCTCATGGTGGTTGAGCGACAGATGTACGATACTCCAGGCATTTAATTAGGTCACGACCCAGCTCGAAAAACTAGCAATAGTCCATCAATGACCAAATCTGCATCTATTGACTAGCATCTAGCGTGAGTGCATGAAAATTCTAGTAAGCTTCTTAGCATCATAAATCAAACGAGGTCCGAAAATGTAACTTTTGTTTATAATATTTTATGAGACAAGTAGTTGAACATTGTAACGACGATGTCTATTTATTCAAAATAAGAAAATTACACTTGCATCTCGCAAGTGTCTGGTCAAATATCTATGCTTTGAAGTTATAAAAGATGATTTCTAAATAATCATCTCAAGTCAACGTGCACCAAAAAATAATTGTAACATAAAATAATGACCACCATATTAGAGTTAAAAAACACGCGACTAGTCTATACAATAAGAAATATAAATCAGTACTCACTGCAGTGAGTTACAGAGCGCATTTCTCGTCGACGAAAACTTGAAGTCACGGACGGACAGATAGACAGACGGACATGGCGAGCACAATAGTGCATTTTTTTTCCATAAATGAGAAAATGCGCTAAAAAATATAAATCGGTACTCACTGCAGTGAGTTACAGAGAGCGCAATTTCTCGTCGACGAAAACTTGAAGTCACGGACGGACAGACAGACAGACATGGCGAGCACCATAGTGCATTTTTTCCATAAATGAGAAAATGCGCTAACTAGATGTGTTTTAGGACTTTGGGAAATCTATCACAGTGAAATGGTGCTAGAAATCTAGTACTACGGGTTAAAATTAGGACACGTTCTTTATGATATTATAAATTAATACTCTGATTTTTCACATATAGAGAATAAATTTCCTGTTTTACGCGATAAACTGGCAACTATTAATACCCTAAATAAATCTCTAATGTATAGACATTCATTATTATAACTATATAAACAAGCTTCCAGTACATCTTTCCCAGCCATCTCAGATGTATTTTCAGTTTTGATAATACGGCAGTGAACTTATACCAAAGAACTATCCCATGGCGTCGGCAAAATGAATTCAACAAAAACGAGCGTAGGTAAATTGATTATTTGCAACAGTCTCTCCAGTTTCACACTTATACCTTAAAGGTGGATTACGTCTATTTCTGAACTCTCACAT